TATTAATCACAGAGTTGCACTGGAGTACCTGGAGATTCCTAGGGAGTTGTTCTCTTAGGTAAAAAGAATAGTGTTTTAGTTTTTTTTTATTTGCAGTTTTTCCACATTCACGGGGGTCCTTCATCCCTAAACCCAGTGAATGTGGAGGGACCACTGTAATTTAGTCCATTGTATATGCAGTGGCCCAGGTGCTGCCCAATGAAATGAGCTCCCATCACCAGTCCCAGCTTCTGCCAACCTAGCAGTTTGAAAGCATGCAAATGCAAGTAGATAAATAGGTACCATTTCAGTGGGAAGGTAAACAGTGTTCTGTGCAATCATGCTGGCCACATGATCACAGAGTAATCTCTGACAACGCTGGCTCTTTGGCTTAGTAATGGAGATGAGCACCACCCCCTACAATCAAACACAACTTGACAACCTAGTCAACGAGGAATACCTTTACCTTTATATGCAGTGGTAGGTTATGACCATTCTCTACATAGAGGTAAGACACCCTTTGAATGATTTGGTGTGATGTATGCCATGGAAATCCATTTTTTAAAAATAATACAGCCAGCCCTCCATACCCATGGATTCATCCAATTATGGTTCAAAATATTCACTAAAATATATATATCCAAAAAGCAAACCTTGATTTTGTCATGTTATATAAGGGACGCCATTTTAGAATACCAATGCAAATGCCATTGTATATAATGGAACTTGAGCAGTCATGGATTTTGATATGTACAGAGAGAAGTCCTGGAACTAAACCCCAGCAGATACCAAGGGCCCACTATATTGCCCTTCATTGTGAAGAATCCTACCTATGATTTCTGGGAGCGGGGGCAGCACTCCTTTGCAGTTCAATGGAACTAACATGGTGCTTTCCCTTTTACCAATGGTGTGTCAATCATTCAACTCCCTCGCTGCAGACAGATCTGCTTCAAGTATGAGCCAAGAGATATGGTTGTCATTAAAAACCTATTCTGCATGGTGAGAGCATTTGTTAAATGCATTCCTACAGAGATTGGTCCAATTACATAGAAATTATCTCTGTAAGGATCAGTACAGGCAATGAGATAGTTCACATCATTGTGTTCATTCACACAAACTATAGCTCCTACTACAGCCTACCTCATATGTTAATCATGTAAAGGCACAATACCAGTGGAAAAGACATTTGGAGTCCCACCTCTGGTTTTGTCCTTGACAATATGTGACTTTCCCAGCCCTACCATTTTGGATATCTGCAAGAGGACCATCTATGTATATATACATATTATAGGCTTCCCCAGTACTTTGAAAAATTACCTTTTGTGCTACAGCAACTAGAATTCCCCAGACAGAATGACCAGTGGAATGGTAGATAGAGAAAAAGAAATGTTCCTACCCTGTTCCTGCACTGAACTGTTTAGATAATGCAAGGGGTCAAAATGGGTGAAACACAACTTCAATCTATGCCACAGGGCAATTCTACAGAGAGAAAAAAGTCATTTTCTGCTCCAAATCAAACCGAAGACTCTTGGGTATCCCCTGAGCTTGCAGACTGCATGTTGGTGTGGGGATGGGGAGAGGAGCATTTTGCAGGTGGGCAGAAGAGAACAGGAGGAGGGCAAGCTGCTGGTGTCTTTTCATCGGGCAATTCCAACTCCGGCCATAGCAATGTCACTAGTTCACACAGTTCCTCCAGTGCATATTGTGTTTTAACAGGACTGGGGCCAGGATGGGAGGAGGGGAGTGTGTGGACAGTGCTGCTGATATCTGCCCACTATGGGTGCCGTAGTGGCATGGTGGTTAAATGCCAGTCCTGCAGCCACAGTTGTGAGTTTGATCCCAGGGGCTTCAAGGTCCACTCAGCCTTCCATC